ACATAACAACTTAAAATTCTGCAAGATATTAATATGCTACAAATGACAAATACTTCTATGATGCTCAGTGCTGCATCTTCCTCCTCAGCAGCTGAGAGGTAGTTTCTTTCAGTGCACAAAATCCTGTTCCTTCACACTGCAGCCTTCCTTCGTACAGCTATTCTATTTTGCAGGATTTTCTAGAGCTGCTGCCAAAATTTTGACAGCTGAGTGGCTACCATTCAGAATAGTGCTCACTGGAACAGGAATACATTGTATCGTATGGAGCGATATTAGTGAATTAATGTTGCATGCCAATTACACAGTAATTCCTGATTCACTTTTCCACACAAAGTATTAAAGAAGCTGCCACATTGTACCACTCCATTTTCAGGACGGCAACACAGATGTGGTCATGAAAACTTGGTTTCATCTTGTATACATTAAACCAGACCACAGACTTTCACTGTAACTGTACTGAAAAAGATCAAGAAATCAGGTCTAATGGTAGCCCTGACCATGCAATCAGCTGAAGAACACTCTTCAGACTATCATCTCTGATGTATCAAGTGTTACAGATTACACGGCTGAGCGGATGCAAATATTATTGATAAATTAACATCACCACTATGCTAATTTAAAGGTTATTACTAAAGCACTACTAATGAAAAAAAATAAATTGTAACAGGCAGGCTTTGGCATTTGTTGGTCTGCAGTATTCTCAGGCTAGCAGGAAGCTGATAAGGCTTCGAGCCTTTCTGAGTTGGATCATCTTTTCCAAGTTCTGACATTTTCTAGATGTGACAACAAGAAAAACAGCAGTGCAATTTCTGAGGAAGCTGCCTGTAAGGTTTTGAAGCAGGTGAGGAAGACAGTTCTTCTTTCACAGGAGCTAAATACCTGCTCAGTGAAAAGGGTAACAAAAAAGCACGGTGGATATAGGGTGCTGAGATCAAGATATCCATTGCATTCCCAGACCCAGCTGTTGGTGGTACCACTGACTTACAAAGTCCACCATAACTTACATAATTCACCCCCATAAAATGACAGTCCAGGCTCTAGTAGTTATAAATGATTTGGTAGAAGGAACACCCACTTACACTATGTTGCAGTTCATTTGAGACGTAGAATGACACAAATGCTGCTGCTGCACGCACCTTTAATTTGACCTTGTCACACAAATATTTTTCTTAAAAAAAAAATTAAAAAATCAGGTTTTCACACAGCTTAACATATATAAATAATGTATTTAAATTATAAATTGTAGCAGAATGAAAATTCAACAGCATTTGTCTGCAACATGAAATAAAATACATCACAGATCTGAACAATGACTAATCCATTTTTAGCCACATAGAGCAATTGTTTCAACACCAGTTAACATTAGACATACCAAATGTTATGACCAAAAGTTTTAATATGGTATATTATTCATTATGAACCTACATACAGAGTCTCTTTACTTATGCAGTATTTTACTCACAGGATTTTTACAGACTCTCATCAGCATTACCTGAGAATGCCACATACAATAATGTAGTTACTAGAAAAATCTTAAAGATAAAAGTACTTGCAAGCAAGATGAAACTAGCACCTCATTGTGTAAAAAAAGATTCAATACTGAGCATTACCTGATCCATCCTTCTCTGCTAACTGCAATTTGACTACAGAGTAGTTAAACGCAGAAGGCTGAGGGTTTGTGGGATGATGGTAGGGTGGTTTTGTTTCTATGGCCTTTTGGGGTTTTGCTGATTTTTGTTTGGACTTTTGTGTGGTTGATTTGGTTTTTTGGGGTGGTGGGGTGGTGTTTGCTTGGTTTTGTGGTGTTTTGTTGTTGTTGTTGTTGTTTTTTTAAGAACAGATACTTAAGCATAAAAAAAAAAAATAGAGGATCTACTTCATGATTGGCATGAGCACATTTAACTTCAGTTGCTCCCGAAAGACACAATCCCACTTTTCCCTGCACTCAAATTCCTGCATTACGTTGTTCCTGCACTCCAGTTCCTGCATTATGTTGCCTCTACAGACACATCACTGTCTACTGAGTGAAGCAACCTGCCAGATTCTTGATTTGCCAACTTTGCTTTCAGACAGATCAATGAGATAATCCAGTTTACCCTGAGACTTTATGATCACTAGAAGCGATAGTTATATGGAAATGATGGAGCTAGAGTTGCAGGGAGGGCAGACTGCCCTTTCCAGACACAAAGTCTTAGATCAGCATAAACTTATCAGGAATCATATCTCCAGGGATTGTAATGATTCAGTGCACTTCCTACTACAAGTTTCTCTACTCCCCTGACTCCCTACTCCTTCTCCTCCCTCAGGTCAGCTTTCCACTGTCTCAGTGGGACATGGTTTCTAAATATAAGATATTTAACAGCAGCCCTGGCTTGAAGTATTCCCCATTCTGCACTAACCCCACCACCACATGCTTATTCCCACCCCTGGCTCAGCTAAACACCTGTTTCCTGTTACATCCTCAAGCAGTTGAAGGAACAGATCAGATTTAGCAACAGCTTCCATTGCAAAGTTAAGGCTACATAGCCTGACATGTATTTTACAGCACCATAGAATCAAGACTACTATCACCTCTGCTCAACCAATCACTCTCCTATCCTCTCCCCTCTTCCCCAAAAGAAAAGTGATCCCAACACAGCATCTACAGTGTCACCCCTTAGTGTTGGATTATTTTCACAGCAGCCCCAGAGAATAGTACTTTGAGCCTGCTCACTACGAAGTCAGAGAAATATTTGTACCAACATAGTGCAAGAAGTAACACAGGAGCAGGACAGTGCTATTTTTGGCAACGATATGATCTGAAGTGCACGTCAGCACACAACTTCAAGCCAAATCAGTTCCCTGATCTGGATCACTCCACACTCGCTGTGCAGTACAGGGAGTTAACACTTTAAGAATGAAGAAGGAAGTATATCCTTCAGGAACAAGTAACAAAGAACAGATTAATACTGTAGGCTAGTATTGCAGAGCACACTGTATCTTGAAATTAGACTTTAATATTTTATATGTGAGGATAGCTCAGAACAAGTTTAAGCAGGCTGGCCGTTTGTTTCTTTTTGACTCTCAGATTTGAAAGTATCTCTTGGCATTTGAAAAGTCAATTCCAATATGCATGAAGCTAAATAAATAATGAGGCATATACATTTACATGGAATTCCCAGAAATATATTCTGTATTAGCCTAGGTCTTACACAACAATTTTGTCTTCTATGTATGATTATGAAATTGAAGAAAGTAAAAAAAACCATGACTTCTGCCAGCAAGCTATACTGCCACATACGTCAGGGGTAATCAGCTACTACACACAGGACAAAGTCAACACAAAAGAGGAAGGAAGGAAAGTATAAATCCAAGACAGTGGTACATCCAGGACTCCACTCTCTACCCTACAATACTGAAGTAGAGTAGAATATTTAGTGTATTAGTAACTACTAACTACATCGATATTTATTGAGATGACATGATTAGACTGAGATACTTCAATCTTTTTCATTCCTCTTGATCCTGACCAATATAAGAAATTTTGTCTGGAAAAATACAAGGAAAGTCTTGAAGTATTTGGGTTCCTGCCTATTGTATTTCTGTGGCTCAATTTCAGTATTCTTTTCTGAAGGAAACACTGTATATGAATATGAACATCCTTCTTTTCATATTTCAAATGTGTTGTTATAGGCCAATTCTGTACACATGAAAGTCAGATGAATGGACCGAGCTGTTCATTTGATTTTTATTCTTTTCTAAAACATCCAACTTCTTTCAAAGAACAGTAGCACCTAATTTTCAGGTGTATTCCATTTTTAAGAAGTAACTTCATGGCTAAGCATTATAAACAAAACACCGCAATAATTAAACATAATAATATGCAATTACATTGATGTACCAATTAAAGGTTTTCCAAATTATTTCTAACTCCATTGGAATATTTAAATGTGGGGCCACAGATCAGCACCAATTTCTTATTTATAAAACGACAAATCAGCACTGACTTCTTATTTACAAAATAACAGTATTTTTAAGTTGAAAACTTAAAACGAGATGTAGAACAAGGCCACTTAGACCTCAGGCTGATCGGCACGTTGTTTCTAATGGCATTTTTCACTGATCAAGAAACCAGGTTACACAACCTGCCCTGGCAGCGCAGGATATTTTTTGTTCTCTATCTGTGTGAAGTCCTTGCCTTGCTACTAGCAGGGCTGCCTTCCTTTTTTTTTTCCTCCTCCTCTCTCTTTCTCTCTCTCTCTCTCTCCTCTCCCCCCCTCAACATTTCTAAGTATAGTGACAACCTCACCAGGGTTTACTAGTAGCAGCGCAAGCTCAGTGAAAACCTGGGAAATCTAACTGGAAACACGAGAGAGCGCTTTATTTGGCAGTGCTAAAAAAACCTGGGGACAAATGGCTAAGCGGCGGTGGAAGTGCAGGCTGCACAATCAATAGGCAGAGAGCTGGATAGAGGCTCCCTTTGCTGCCGGATCGACAATCGACAGCTGAGAGACTATTTTTTGCAATGGTTGACTAAATATGGTCAGGGAAGAGAGAGGCACAAGAGAGCCTGTTTGCCTGGGAGTGCATGTTTCAAATGCTTAGCTGCCTATAAAGCCGTAACAGTTTTGCTCGTGCCCTCTAAGTGGGAAATACGGTTAGTGCCTTCTGTAGGGTGCGTGCAGGAGCCCTGACCTCGCTAGCAGACTTGACCTTTGAAGATGGAAAGTAGCTTCAACACAGACCTGCCTACAGTTAAGCCTGGAAACATAACCTCAAGCAAGAAACGATGCAGTGCAATATCTAAGGAACTAGAAGAAACCAATATTTGCCGGGGGAGGGGGGAGACGATCGCTTTTTTCCGTGTGCCTTTTTTTTTTTTTTTTGGAAGCAACTCCAACTTTTGGGGGCTTGGTTTTGTTTTTTTTGTTGGTGTTGTTGGGTTTTCATTTTTCTTTTTGCCTGTGATTATTTTCATCTGGCAGTGGGCTAAGTTCACCTTCCTGTGGAGTCTTAACTCTCAGTCCAGCAGACATAAGGTATAATTTCTATACAACACCATCCATATTTCAGCATTCCAAGAAAGGCAGCAGGTGCCAATTATGCACCCGTCTTCATGCCTCTGTTTTGTTGTTGTTTGGTTTTTTTTTTTCTTTTAAGTTTTATCTATTCAAGGTGGTGAGGTATTGTATGCACCGACATTCACCCCCCCTTGCTTCCCCCTCCCATGTAATGAAGAGCTGATTCAGCGAATAGAATGAGAGAGCACTCAGGATGAGATGGCTGCTGCTGATGTGTCTCTAGGTCATTACCTCTCTTCCAACTGCAAATGCTGCATGATACTAAGCTTACAGGTAATAGAACATCAGGAGACCTGCATTATTCTGCACGTTTAAGGGATGCCTATGACTTTCTGCATGTATATCTTATTTAGTAGAATGTCTTTTTTATTGTTATATTAATCCCTCTACTCTGGGAACAGTTTAATTTTGAGTGTGTTAAAGTATCAAGCATTTGTAGTGTAAAGAGCAGGTTGAAAGAAAACAACATTAGTCCAAATTTCATAGCAAAAAAACCCAACTTGCTTGGTAGGCAGAATTCTTTTAAAGGAAGATAAACTCAAAAATTGTATTGCCATGAAGTGGCTGTTCATTTCAGGGAAATACCGTCTTATCTTCCTATGCAAAACTACAAAAAAATAATATATATATATATAAAAAAGAGACCAACTTTAAAAAGAAAATCTAATACACACTGTGGTACTGCAGTGCTGAGTTCTCAAGTAGGTCTAAGCAAAATTTTCAAGGTGCTTTATCTCAGGTGTACATGAAAACAGCCTACTTAAAAACTAGAATGTGACTGCTGTGATTCTAATGCTGCATTGCTGTTTCTCCTTGTAGTACTGTGCTAGCTACTGCTACACTCTGATTTGCTCTTTATCAGCTGCACTAGGTTTTTGTCATGAGCTGCAGAAATTCTTACTTCCTCTGCTCTCAGCTTTCCTTACGACAATTACATATACTAATTGTTAAGCTTATTTCAAATTTACCTTCTAATGCTGCAAAGACAAAGCTTACTTTTTACTGTAACCCAAATCAACTTCTGAAATACAAATTAAGGAACCACAAGCTGCATCTGACAGCCCTTAGAAGTCAAACCCATACTGCACATCAAATAATTTAACTACCATTCCAAACTAAGACACACAGAATCTTATGAAACAGTGTTAAGCTTGGGGTTTGTTTCTTTGAGGGTTTGTGGTGGGGTTTTTTTAGTTATCGTAACTATTTCAAGTGTGGACAAAATTTTGACTGAAGCAGGTGAGTGCCAATTTTAAAAAGTGAGAAAAGCTGCTTGCAGAAGTATTGAATAGTTATTAGCTTTCTATGTGACCTTCGGCCTAAAAATCCAGATCATGTCACAGCAGTCAGAGGTTGTTTTCTTAATTCAATGTCATCATCTTTACGATAAGCAGGATCACTGGTGGCATCTGCTGTTTTCTACTTTAAATCACTCTGAGCTGCAGCAGAAATAAGTATAAACCTGAGAAGAGTTTGCAGAATACTGGATAGGATGCCAAAAGCATGGAAATGGGACTGGAGAGGGTAGGAAAATAAAGTTTATAACTGACATATTAGACAAATCTGTACTTCCCTTCAGGACACTAGAAGCAAACTGTACACCAGCATGGAAATCTGCTAGAAGACCTGTGAGGAAGCTCAAGTTTTCACAGTGGAATACAACTATGAATCCCAAGAAAACATGTTCAGAGCTACCAGCAATTCAACTCTCCACTCAGACTTGATCACTCAGAATGAACAGCAAGAGGCTGCAAAAATCTGGAAAAGCACTTCTCATGTCCATGCCATCCCTGAACAATGAACTAAAACCGGCTTTAAGCCACTGTGCAGGTAAATTGCATTGTAAAGTTCAGTCAGAATACTAAGTTTATTTTCTAACAAAAGTTAGTCATAATATTGTTCTACCAAAGAATTGCCAGGCTGGGTTTTACCTAACAACAGCCAACAGGAAGCAGCAAAATACTTCTCAGGTTCATCTGACAGGTAGTTGAGCAACTCTGTGTGTGCCTGCTCAGAGTACATACTTCTTTATGTACCCATATGAACATACAATGCTATGGAATGTAAAGAAGTATGTATTTTTGGCAGGCACGGAACGACCAGTAAGAGGAAACTAAACAGCTGTTGGAAGAAACAGGTTTCCCTCTTGTTTAAATGACATTCATGTGACAAATTAGCTTGCTAAGGGTCAGGTGGTATTGCCAAAATAACTCATACTTGTTAGTAACAAATCACAAAACATCAAATTAAGTGACTACAAAAGTGGGTAGGAAGAATTGTTAACAGCTGATAAGCAGACCATTAGCTGTAAATAAAGAATTCAAAAACAAGGCTGGAAATAAAACCTTGAAATGCACTGATTAAAACTGCAGCATAGCTGCAAAATTTATCATTACTAGTACTCCTCATTTAATAGATCCTAAACTAACTTTAAAAGCCTGGTTATCAAAATATATCTCATTAAAACACAAGCCATTGTTCTATTAATCACAGCCAGTTTTGCATTCTTAAGATGGTAAATTTACATATACTATAGAATATTTAATATAGAGGTTGCAACTAACACAAGTAGAAACAACAAAGAAATTAAGACTGTGATTTAAAGAAAAGGATAGCCAAAATAATTGAGTAGGGTAACTTCTGCAATTTAATATGAGCCTTAGAATTTTCTCCAAATCAGCACTTACTATGCTCACTGAGCTCTTCACTACAAAGTGCAGTGTCAGGTTTATGCACAGAAAGTGACAATACAGAGATTTCTAGGCCGCAGTTGCTAGTCAGCAGATTAAAGCTATTGACAGATTCCTAAATGAAAACACAAATGACAACTACAACCTAAAAGGTAAGTTACGTTAAAAACTATTTTCAAATAAGCTGAATTTATTTTCAATCCAAATTTAAGAAACTTGGCCATGAAAATATTACTTTGTAGTGTCCAGAATATTGTAAGAACTAAATGAGAAATAGTCCTGCAACAGTTTCAAGTTCTAGAAGTTGTAGTAATTGAAATATACCAGCATGTATCATCCCTAAATAAAGACACTCAATATCAGATTCAGGAACAAGGAAAAATAAGAGGAAAGACCCCCTGGCTCATCAATCCAACTATTCCTGTTCATGACAGCAGCCTTCTAAAAGCAATTATTAAATAGGATATGTCCAGGATAAGTAGGCACATTTGGCCCAGATTAAAAGATTGTGCTTACTAAAATACGTGAGAGGAAAAAAAACACATAACAGGAAAAATAAGAAAAGGCAAGGCATGACTTTCAGATGGAGAATCTTATTTTTAAATACCCTCAGAAAACTGATACTATACATAGCCTGCTATTTTTATTACCTGAAACTACAGAATAACATATATACAAGCATAAACATTATCTATCAGAACCATTTTAAGTAAAATAGTATTTGCTTTAAGGCTATTTCTCTTATGAGCAGATATTTTGGCATGAGAAGTACAGTGTCTTAACATGTAAATTAAAACCTGGTTAATAGTGGAAAACAAATCAAGTTGTAGGTAGTAGCTTTTCTAAATGGAGCAATGCTACCGAACTTGATCACGCTCACAGAAACAATTTTGCATTAGCAACAGCTTTACAGAGGAGTTGATTGCTACGTGCTTATTCCTTTTCCTGAAGGGCTGCTGTCCTCATGACTAACTGATCAGGCTTCCACTATGTAACAAGACCAACTTTTTAACAGTTTAAATTATTCTGAAAGGGTTTTGGTAGCAATTCATTATGTTGTGTTTTCTTGTCTTCTTTGTATAACATTGCAATGCTATTCCGAAACAAAATGACAGTTCAGTATGATACAAAAGTTAAAATTATATGTTGACATTGCTTCCTGCTAGTTCATGTTAGCATATCTCTAAGAATACATATCCAGTCACTCTAAAATGTCACAGCCATCACTTAGATCAGCTGTTCAATTTTAACCGAGCACACGTTGAACTTTGGGCATCTGCTGACACAGTTGTAACTCAAACATTTCAACTGTGTGACTGACAGGGATAACAGATGCTGACATTATCAAATGCTACACGGCTTTTTTTTCCATGGCCGTTTTTTGTCCCGATATGGCCAGTACATGAAACTGTATTGCCATCCAAAAGCGCACTTGAGCAGCTGTATCTGTAAAACAGTTCCTGTATAACTGGTAAAAATAGAAACCAATTTTAAAGCCATCTTCATGCTTAAGTCCAAGTGACACACCTGCTATGTTTCTATTAGGATACATGGTGTTGGGAATATATTTACATAAACCTTCTCACCAGCATCAGACTATGCAACAAACAGATGCAGACTATACTTGACATACTAAGTGAACAGCTTGAACTAAGGTTGCCCCCTACTTCCCACTGCAGTCAAAGCTCAAAAAGAATTCAGCATACAACAAAAAAGCTATGTGAGCATGCACAAATGTATTAAGGACCTTAACTTAGAAGAAATCAGATGCAACCCCCGATAATTCATTAAAAGACTTATTTTTCTGGCATTAAACACATTTACATATAAAATCAGAGTTTAAAAAATAATCTATCTTGCTATTTTATACAATCATTTCTACGGTGTTAACACTAAGCAGAGATATAGAATTGAAAACACTTAACATTTATACTTGAGCTAACCAACTACAACATGAAAGCAGCTGCAAAAGGGAATCTGGCAGCAAATGAATGTGGAGGGAGGATGGGGGGGGGGGGGTGGGAAGCCAAAACCTTCTTCCCCAGTAAAGTCTAACATAAAGAGGGAAGGGAGCAATATGTGAGTAGAAATTCTAATACAACCTCAAGGAAATAATTGAGGAAGGAACAAACCTGGATACTGTACAGGCCATTCTAGCATACAGCTTTCCATTCTGTTGTCTCCAAATTAGTGAAGGAATTTGCGTTGACTAGAAACAAGGCGTGTAACACAGAAGCAAGCCACACGTTCATCGTGAATTGTTCATATACTTAAAAATGTGTTACTGCATTATAACCTTCCTGCACTCCAATGCTTTGCTAAAGCTGGTAAAATGGAACCAAATCACCTCTTCAATGGATTTGGTCCCCTTCAACCAGCTGTAGCTATGCATTGATCACTACAAGATTTCTCGTATTCTAAAACCGGACACGAAGTCTGCTCAGTGATTATGCAGTCCTCTCTGCAGCTGAGTACAGTTATTCTAGGCAGCTTGAAGATGGGAGGTAACAGGAGTGCAGCACATTCTGTATCCCAAAATTTCAAGGTTGTGTTTGTAAATAAAAAGCTACTGGTGGTTTAATATTCTGTCCATATTCAGTGAAAACTGATTCTTACAACATCTATAAAGGAGATAGGTCAACAGTGAAATAAACACATTTTCCAATGATTTATTGTCTCTTGCATTTTTCCTCAGATCTGTTGCCCTTTGTAGCAAACCTAAAAACCACTGACCAAAAGAACAGTACTGATAATGTAAGGCAGGTCTATCCCTCTTCCCTGCCCTCTCCCCTCCTCCTCCTCCTTCTTTTAATTGTACAAGGGAGGAAACTCCACAGGGTAGGAACTGTATTTGCCATCTTGTACATGGTGGGCCTATTATTTACCATTTAAAGATAATAAATGTGTCACTGACCTCAACAGCTACAGGCTAATCTGACATCTAATTATAGGTCTGCTCATGGACATTATATTCTTTCTCTAAACCAATCTGAACAAAAGTATTCTTTTAAAGCATTTTCTGACTTAATACTTTAATAAGAGGTTTTAGGAACATGCTTTTTTTGCACTTAGCTTTAACTAAGCTTCAACCAAGCTTCAACCTACACTTACTGTCAAAACTGCAAATACGAAAGCAAAAATCACTTTTACTGGTTCACAAAATTGTACAACTCTTCAATTACCTCACAAATTGTCTCTTTGTGGACCTCCATGACAACACAGCACATAAACCCCTGAGACACCCATTAAGCAGAGGTGAGAAACCCCACCTTTCAAATCCTTAGTTAAAAATTTCCCTGCCAACCACTTCAAACCATCTGTTAATTCAAAAGCAAGGAGACATCTACTAAATAAGACAGCCATGAGGAAAAAATTACAATTCTATTTTAAACCACAATCTCCTACTTCCTAGTTTACAAACGTACAGATGACAAATTTCTTGGTATTGGACAGCAATACATGAAAACTGCACCTTATCCTGAGGTTTTAATTTTTTTGATTTAAAGTACAGCAGAACTTACTGCTCGGAAGAATTAGTCGTACACACGTGCAAAGTCAGGTCAGCTCTAAAAGCAGCCTCTATTTAAGATGCTAGCTGCAGTGTGAATAAAGCTCTCTTCACGAGATACAATGCAAATCTAAAACTAACTGGGGCAACGGATATAAAATACGCCTACGCTTCACAGTCATGTCTTCAGCTCAAAACTCTGAAGTCATAGGTATGCAAAGAGATCAAACATAACCAAGTGTCGATGCCATGGCAAAAATAACCAATCTGTACAGTACTTTCAAATTTTACTCTCCTTTTTTTCTGTCTGAACAATCTCATTAATACTGAAGAGGCAAAGTCTGCCAAGCTTTGAGGTTCACAGTACTTTGAAAGAAGTCCAACATAAATGCACTGTCAGTATGGCTGACTCAAAAAATCATGAACAAAAAGCCATGTGTTAAAAATTTTAACTTCCCCATACTTCATTCAACATTTACTTTTAGTTCTACCTTCCATGCGTAAGTTTAAACCTACCTATAGCATAAACTGAAAAACATCCATCCTACATTTCAACATCATACCTTAACATGAAAAACGGAAGTTCTGTTTCTGTGCCAAGTGACAAGGCATGAAGAAAAGCAAATTATTAAAAGGAGAAATATTCCACTAACTATAGGATGCTTTCCAAAACACATTATACCTTGACTTCTGGAAAACACTGCTAAAATGTCATGGAAGATTAAGTGCAGAGAAAAATCTAAGGTATTTGACATAAATTGCTAACTTTCTTATAATATTTATCTAGTATTCACATGTTTAAAATAGGATGTAATTATTTTACTATGAAAAATGAAAAACTATCAAATGTTTTTCTCAGTACAGTTTGTGAGAGTTTTTTTCTCAGTACAGTTTGTGAGAGTTTTTTTCTCAGAGATCTACCTTCCTGCTGATAGTAAAGGTCAGAACTCAAGCAAGCAGCAGAATAGGTTTTGCACGAAAAATGAAGTGAGTTCCAAATACCTATTTGGTATTAACTGAAAAAGAAAATCTATAGAAATCTGGTGCACTTTGCAGTATCTAAACATTTAACACATGCATTTATTTTATTATCATTAACAAGGAAGATGGATGCGGACTTCATCAATACTTGCATGAATAGTAAGTATTTTAATTTTGTAATTAGTTATAAACACATGCATATATGCTTATATATGTTAACGTAAGTTTTTTATTTTTATAAAATGCATTATAAAAAAAAAAGATGAAATAATAGATTTATACATTTGACCTTAAGGAGAATTCGGTGCACTGTACTACACACAAGGCATCACAGCCTGAAGCCACAAAAACTCTAGTTTAGGTGGAAGAGGAAGTCTTAGATTACGATTAAGTAAGGTTTCAAGCAGAACATATTATGTACTGCTCGTGACCCACACCAGCTACAAGCTGAAGTTCAGGGGTTATTTTTAACAGTGTTTCAAATAGCTTGTGCTTAGTGCATTTAACAGATTAAGTAATACCCATTGTTTCATACAAGATCAGAAAAAACAAAGTGGCAAACATCATACCTTTGGTTTCATTCAGAAATACGGCAGTGGTAGAGCTACAGAATTAACAATGAAATAAATTATAATAATGATCTGGGTGGGGAGGGAATAAAAGTTTTTCAAAATAGATTTCTTTTGGTTTAATTTTCATTACTTTCCACCCAGGCAGGTGTGAAAAATATATGATGTTGTGAACAAATGAAACTACGACTACTTCTATGATGGAGACAATAACATTCTTTCTTTTCACATGCTTCAGAAGTGCTCCGATATAACTACAACCAAAAAAGTACATATCAAAACTTTAGATATCTAACTGCTTTAGAGAAATGTGAAACCCCATATATGGAGGGAACCTACACAGGGTTCAAATTACCAATATTGGAAATATTTTCCTATTCTTCCAATAAAAACTTTTGTAAAGGAGAGAAGATTCTAGGAAAAACTGCACTATGCTTCACATTCTACCAACCAGTTGACTGGTTTACAAAATTGTACCACAGTCAAACTGATCCAGTCTGAATTACAATTTGGATCTCTCCATCAAATAAAAAGTCTGCTGCTCCTAAAACACTGGCCCACAGAAACGTATAGGAAAATGGTACTCATGGGTAATGTTGATACATAAATATGGAGAGTTCATATGAAGTTACAAAGTCACACTTGAAAGAATCGTCTTCTGAATGCCAAAAGTAAGTTCCCTACACTAGAGGTCCTTGACACGTTCTCCTACAGACCTTTTATGAACACTGTAGAAAATGGCAAACCCATTTATTGCTTCTATCAACACTTTCAACTACTACTTTTACTTTGTGAAGTATGATTCCATTCCATATCCATATATACTTAAGTTTACTATGTAACTGTCAGTCTTGATAGCTATGTTCTAAGAGAGACTAGCCCAGATTTTATTCCCATGTATTAGTATATAGCCTTCTTTGCCCAACTTCACTCAACAGAAAAGTAGAATACAGTAAAGTTATGCAAGTAAACACATACATGTCTTATTTTGTGTAAACTATACTGAATTCTCCACCACCATATGATAAACCATTATTGAACTCTCGATAGAATGACAGCTCTGAGGAACACCGTTTATCCACAATGTAATAAGCAACTAGCAATACATAAAATTTGCCATTAAGTTCTATCCATGCCACATAGCTTAGAAAGCTATCTTAACTGCAGATTCAATGTAGGTATATTAGTGTGCAGCTAGCATAAAACAAATTATGCCTTAAAACTAACTTTTTCATATGAGCTGCTGTATAAAAGCTGAATTAACAAATGTCTTCTATTCACACTTCTAAGAAAACAAAATTAAATGCTTCTTATACTGAAAAAATATAACTTAACATAACCCTACGATCACTTTATAACTACGTGGTATCTTTAGTAATTATTCAAAGTAAGTATTCCTTAAAAACTCAAACCCTTTTCCCAATCCCAATATTCAAGAACGGAAACATTTTTTACAAATCCCATCTTAAAATCCCGTCTTCAGATCTTACTTAATAATCTACTTATCAGAATGTTAGCATTTACAGCTACCACAAGAAATTCCCAATTTGGAGTTACCTAAATACAGCATTAAACTGAACTAGTTGCTTAATTCTAATAATGGCTTCCCAAGTATCAGAAAAAAATACATATCTAAACAGCTTCAAAACTTAACAAATATAATTACATGCAAGTTTAAGAATCTTTCGAAAGAATACCCCAATTCTACCCTCCCATGCACTTGTTTTCCCTTACAAAGAATAAAACGATCTTTAAAAACATATCTTTACCTAGGGTTTCCTCTTAGTGCAGCATGGTGAAGAGCATTAAAGCCATTGTTGTTGGTGATAGTAACATCTGCTCCAGCTTCTAACAATACCGCAAGGATGTCATCACGCTTCTTACTTATAGCGTCATGAAGTGGAGTGTCACCTTCAGAATCCTAAAACCAGAAACAGTTTACATCAGTTTTTGCATGCATTCACACTGAAGAAAAAAGATACTTAAATATCACTAGGAAAACTGTCTACACAAACACAAAACAGCTCTTCAGACCTAAAAGTGTAGCTATACTGCAGAGTTCAGAGCAAACTTGGTCTAGTTTTCCTAGTGTTTCAGTGTATAATCCTACTCAAGGCTCCAGCATTCTATGATTATACTACTACCAGAACTCACTCAGAGCTCAAGTATGCCTTGCATCTCATAGTACTGAAGAGACTGGTACAAGCATCAACTTCTCTGTGCTTCATATCTAGATGGAGTTGATGCCCACAGTACCATTTATGAGTTACAGGACAGCAACAAAAGCTAAACAAACCAGAGAAGAAACTAGTCTGGTAGAAAGAGGCAGGGAATTTCGAGTAATGAACACTGAGCCAGCAATTAACTGTATAAACGACAATACCAAAAAATACAGTGTGAAATAAAAGCATAAGCAAATCAAAATAAAAACACAGTCCAAGTAATAAACTTAGGCACATCTGTTGTTTTATCTGAGGCAAATAATTTTCTATGAAGCAAAGGCTAATGTCATAAGCAATCTTAAGCTTCTAAAATTTTTATGGTTAATACCAGATTACATTACACAAGGTACATGAAAATATTTCAGTGCATAATCGAATAGGCAAAGAATTTATCTTTTTAGCTTGACATTTTATTTTGCAAATATTCCAAATAAAGGAAAAATACTTCTTACTCCTAAAAGGATTTTGTACATTACTTATTCAAGGACCCAAATGGCTGGACTGAAAAGGAATGCTTTAGACTTAACAGTGAGAAAACACATCCATTTAAGCTTATTTGCCGCTATATAGGCAAACTCTCTAGATTTATGCTTCCAGTAAAATTCTAACACCATATAAGTCAGGAAGTCTTTTGTCACTGACACTGACTCAACTGCAAACTGAGAAACACAGAAACTGAACATTTTAGCAATATGTTAATACGAAAACAGCTTTACAGGGAGAATGAAAAACTGACAGAATATGGAAGCACTCAAATCTATGTGAACCAGTTTGCCAAAACTAAATTACATAACTTTTATTTGGTTTAACTGATCCTATTTCCTGAATTTACTGTTTACAGGCTAACATATGTTCCTGTTTACACAGTCAGTTGACTTGAGTAGTAGACTGCTGGCCAGCAAAATTCCAGTCATGCCTCAGTCCAACTCCCTTGTACTCTCATCCACCAAATCAATCACCTACTCACATTTGCACATCAAAGTTCCTCAGTACACAAACTGGATCTGGAACTTAATTTTCAATGACAACTGTATTTTCCAGATGGAGTTTCACAGTAACATTCTAATGAATTTTTCAATCAAAAATGACTTCTATAATTTAAGGTCAGGCACATCCACTTTGGCTACTCTTACATCATCACATGATGCACAGTCACCCTTCATTGGGCCCAACCTATCAGACTCATTATATCTACTGTTCAACAAATACTAAATAGGGTCTGAACGAACACTAGCTGTCTAACAACTCCACCTCAGCAAGACCAAGACAGTACCTACAAAGCCAGGTGGAAGCAGATAAAAAAACCTCGTGTTTAAAAAAAAATAAATAAAAATCACTGATTATTTACGCTGCAAAACAAGGAGGTAAATATGTTATTACTGTGTATCTTGATTTGCCCAGATGATACAGATCTTTCCTTCTGTTGCAAACCTCTTCAAACTTAATCATTCTGATTTATTTTAGTAATGCACTGCATGTGGCTGCACTCTGCTCATGCAGAATGTGGATGCCTGCTTATGTGATGGCAGGCTTCTACTCCACCTTCTCAACAGGACATTGCACTCAGATGTTACAGCTTCTGCCACATTCATAGATGAAATTCCCTGTGAATTACTGTGCTTGAGGCCCTATGCATGAGGGCTTTTTAGATAAAAGGCTGAACATGTAAAAGAGAATCTAGCTAAATAGTTAATATTAATGATAGGTTAATTCTGGGAGGAAAAAAAAAGAAAAATATTTCTTTTATTAAAACAGTATCAAGTATGAACAGCCAAAAATTTAAAGCTGTAGCTTGCAGAAGGAGCAAATATCTGTGAATTCAACAGAGGAGGAATTAATCTGGAGAGAAAGTTAAGTTATAGCTAAATACAGTCTATAAAAATACCAATTACCATCAACCGGCTAGAATAAATCAGGTGCCTATGTAGCTGTGAAGAAAAAAACCCAGATTTAACAGCATTTTTACTACAGCTGATCACATGCTGGGATGGAGTTTGGGACAGATTAGCTTCACAAGGTCCATTCCTTTCAATCCCATTTTCCAGAATTCTCCCTGTCACCTACACATAGCAAATCATAAAATTCAATAGCTAAAAAGTGAATCTACATTAATATTTGCTTTACCTGGAGACTAGGATGGCAGCCAAAGTCCAGTAAAGTCTTCACAACCTGCAGATGACCTTTGTTGACTGCAATATGAAGCGGGGTCTGCCTGCGTTTGTTGCGAGCATTCAAATCTGCACTGCCTCGGTGCAAAACCTCTATCACAGCACCCTCATCACCAAAGGCTGCATGATGGACAGCCCTGTCTCCATCTTTGTCCTAAAGTAGAAACATTAATTTTACTCGGTATATTCCACATCTCCTTTGCATTTAAACAAGAAGACTAATTATGTGCCTTAAGACTTACATTTAGATATAAATCTATATATTAAAAGCACTGTATTTCTATACATGCCAATAAAATAATATTGGCAGTACTGTCAACATAATAACTGATACCCATTAATGTCCACAGACTAGAGGGCTTGATATTTTTACTATGTAGTATCTACATCAGGCTTTTTGAGCTCTGTCAGTAACACGTTTCCTGACTACACAGAGGCCACTTGTACACTACATTAAACTGTCAGAGACGTAAGCACAGACAAGAATATACGGGCATCCCTAGGAAATGGCATCATGAATGTATATCCTCTGCAGCAGTGACTGTAAGTGTAAATATATGCAACTTAGCTATAAAGCAGGAAAAGTAAGGATTTTTATTCACAGCTTCCACACCACAGACCACAACAGTGAAGTAAACTGACCAAAGTTTTGCTTTCTGCTAATGGAATGACTCTGCTGGGTCTCAGTATCACTGATTTATAAACAGCTTACATTTTTTAAAGCATGAAACACCTAATCATTAATCTAATATTATATATGATTAATAGGATAGCGATTAATGCAGTTACATAATTAAGTAGGAATACCACCTTCAGTTAACTCAAAGTTACACTAAAAGGCTTGAAAACTCAAAATCCCTGAAATTTTTAATACTGATGTTACACTTCTGAAGCCTGAGCAAACATAAACAAACATGAAAAATCGTTAACAATTCAACTGCTAGCAGATTATGAGGTGCTTTATATTGAAGCTGTTTAAGCTGTGTTTCTACTTCCTTCTTTAACGCTTCTAACCCTTCT